CATCCTAACACACAGCAGTGCCTTTGCTGGCATCTTAACATACCCAGGGATGTCATCTCTCTGGCCCAAGTCTGGTCCTCCGCTGGTCCTCCCAGTCCACCTGGCCCACCTGGTGGCTCCTCCCAGAATCAGCAGTGTCAGCAGGACTTCTCAGTGTTCCCTGGGGCCCCTCAGCCAGGCTGCACATGCAGCCTCGTAATCCTGGCCCAACCTCCCACCAAGCTGCCTGGACTGAGTGCCCCCTCTCCTCAGCCCCCACCCTGGCTGCACTGTGCCACTTCCTACAGGGCAGCCAGAATGGTCCTCTCAGGAAGTCAACCATTCCATGGCGTTTTGGGGGGGAGTTTTTTTTTTTAGCTCCCACCACTCCTGGAGTCAGCAGACCAGACCCCAACCCATTCCTCTTCCCATTCGGACTCTGTCCCTGGATCTAACTGGTCCAGCTACCCAGGCCCTCCTTCTATTCCCCCAGCCCATGGAGTGCCAGCCCAGGGCTGCCTCCCTCAGTGCTCGTCCCCAGATAACCGTGATGCAAGAGGAGAGCTCACACGTACCTGGCCCATCACCCCCCATCTGTTGCCCACTTCTTACTCATTTAATCCTCACACATGGCTTTGTGATTATAGCCCCATTTTACAGAGGAGAAAATGGAGGCACAAAGCGGTTAGCTCCCTGGGCCAGGGCACAGAATTAGGGGGAGTCGCTCTTCAGAGCCCATTGTCACTCTCTGGGTCCCCCCACCAAGGGCTGACCTTGTTCTCTGGCACCAACCTGGTTGGTAGCGTCTGTGATGTTTATCACTCTGGGCCAGGCACAGAGAAAGTGCCCAACTGCTGAATGAAAGAAGCCATGCCGCACTGTCCCTGCCTCTGAGCAGGTGCTGGGAGAGGTCACAGCTGCCTGGACTTCCCTGGTGCTCCATGGGGGCCACCTGGCTGGGAGGGACACTCTCTCTGAGGTTCAGTAGGAAGTCCAAGAAATGACCTGGCTTAGCAGAGCCCCTGTGGCTGGAACTCCACAGGCTGGGGCCTCACGGTCACTTGGGGCACTTGTCCCAGGGCAGGAATCCAGGGGCCTCCTTGGGAGGAGCTGGGCTCACTGACCCCCACAAACAAGGCTGTTTAGCAGAGGTCATTAATGCACATTTAACTGCCTGCTGGTCTGGCCCCAGTGGCTGAGCCCAGCTGTTCTTCTAAGGGGGCAGGGAAAGTGGGGGCTGGTTCCGAGGGGCTGAGTTGGGAGTTGGGGCGGCTGTTGGTGCTAAGGAATTCCTGGGAGGGCCGGAGCCCATGCATGTGGCCTTGTCAGCATCTCTGAACGCTGAGGGCCTTGAATGTCACATGACCTTGTCCGCCACCATACCTGGGTCCCTCTCGGCTCACTGAGTGCTCCAGCACAGGCCAGGCGCTTCCCAGTTCACCCCTCCTGTCTCCAGCCCACTGACCTCCTCTCCCCTCTCTGCCTGTCCCTCAAAGGCTAGAAGGAAAGACAATGTGGCCTTGGGCAAGTCCTTCACCTCCTAATTCAGCTGTGAAACCCACTCTTTGCTGCACAGGATACCCAAAACCTTGCCCTGTCAGGCCCTTCCTCCAGATCCAGGTGTTGCCTGTTCTCTGAACCCAAATCCACCAAGTTGTACCCCTAACACACAGTTACTGGCCACTTGCTCCCCTGTCCTGATTTCTGTCATCACAGTTGACATCTGGTCTAGAACCTGAACTTGTTCCCATCCGTGACTCCCTTTGTGTGGCTGCAGCTTCAGGGTCTGTTCTTTTGTACCGCTGTGTAATACCACGTACATTGCTGTGTGTGCGCCCATTGTTGCGTGTATGTGCACGTGTATGTGTGGGTTTTGTGTGTGTTACTATGAGGCTGTGACCCCCTTTCAACAATTTTCCAGTGAGTCTTTGGGTCCACAGAAAGAGTTGCTGGGTCTCAGAAGCAGCTCCCGCCCGTGGGCCACCGCTGCTCATTGCATGTTTCACCTGTGCCCACTGAGCCCATGAGCAAGCAGCTCCTTTCTGGAGCCCTGAGGCAGTGAGGAGAGGCGAGAGGCCTCAGAGTTTGCCACTGCTGTTCATGGTGGCGTAGGTTGTGAATGGCACCTTGAGGTTGTGCAGTACACAACCTGTGCAGCTGCACTGCTCCAGAGCCAGGCCTGGGGGCCCTGCCCTGGCCCAGAGCTGTGGTCTCAGAGCTCCAGCCCACCTTCGGTGCTTAGCTCCACTAGGGAGTAAGAACAGCCCCTCAGCACTGATCGGAGCAATAATCCGGGAAGGAAAGGGACGAGGCTTTCAGCATGCGCACCTGCGTAGCCCAGCCAAACACTGCATCAGGAGGGGCTGCAGCTGGCAGAGTCACTCAGGAAGGACGGAACCAGGATCCCGGCCACTGGTTTGCTCCTTTTGGGCCCGCCAAACCCTCTGCCTGCTGGAGCAGCCTCCATGCAGTGCCCCAGTGGACCCATCAGGGTCAGGGAGCCCAGGCCACCCAGATCCAAAGCCCAGGGGACTCTGAAGATTTCCTCAGGAGGACCAGGATGAGGAGGGCATGGGGCCCAGAGAGAAGATGGCAGTGGCCTGGGCCAGGTGGTGGCAGTGGGTGGAGAAATGTATTGGGGCTCAAAACAAATTTTAGAGATTTAAAAGGTCACAGCACTGCACTAGAGCAGGCAGGGGCGGGCGGAGGAGAGAAAGGGGGCATCGCGAATGAGGTGCAGAGACCCGAGCAGTGAGATCTGTCCTGCCCTCTTTTCCTTGAACCCCAGTTTCCTCATCAGCAGAGTGCTGCTGAGACGCCAAGTTCTAACCACCCTTTTGAGTTACTTGTCACTGAGCTCTCCCATGCCTGGAGGAGAAAGTCAAAGGAAGAGGAACATTTTGTGCCATGTGAGAAATACGTGAAGTTCAGATGTCAGTGTCCATAAATGAGGTTTCATTTGAACACAGTAACTAATAACTACAGGGTTTGCTTTCATGCTACAACAGAGCCACACAGAGACCTCACGGGTCTGCAATATTTACTATCAGGCCTCTGCAGACAAAGTTCATCTGCCCTGCCTCATAGCAGCAAGCCTGTCTTCAAACCACTGGACCTGGAGGGCCAGGACCTGGGCCCACACGCCTGCAAGGGCTCATGGGTGAAACCCAGGAGCATGTGCACTTGCACGAGGAACATTTATAGCTCCATGCGCGTC